AAGGCGGCGTCGGCTTCACAGAGAAGGCGAGGGAAATGGACGGATTGCTGAAGAAAATGGTGGCGGCGTGGAGGAGAAGAACAGTGAGATAATGGACGGATTGCTGAAGAAAATGAATTTGGGAAATTTTTTAGGTTTGATTAGGTTTAATATAATTAATATTTAATAAAGTAAAATAAAACCTGTTTTTTGAAAAGTTAAAGTAGTTACCTGATTTGTGAAATTGACATTTTAAAAACCTGCATTGGTGTAATTTCCTCTTAAACTTATTCTGTTGAATTGGTAATCTTCCCTATATTCATCACCCCTGGCCCAGGGGCGGAGCCCAAGCAAGTCCAGTTCAGGAACAGCGCCTGCACTGAACTTCTGGGCTCAATTTAAAGGCCCATGTTTTTTTTAAAACAATGACCTGAAGCCCATTCGCATTTCGCCCAATACCATTCAATTCAACCCTTCACCATTTACAACGATTTCGCCCCTGCTTCCCGCCTCCACTGAATCCACAATCCGCCTCCTTCCTTCACGTCCTTCGCCTCCGCCTTCTCTTTCTCCCAGTCCCGGCAGCCGGCTCCACTCAGTTTCTGCCGCTTCCTCAGTCCTCCGGCCACTCAATTTCCGTTGCCTCATCCTGTCATCCGCCTCCGCCATTCGAGTTTGGTTCGCAGCTCGCCCAGTCGCCTGCTCCGTCGTGACTCAACCGCCGTCTATTCTTCGGCAGCAGCAGAAGAAGAAGGTGATTAGGAATTAGGATTTAGGTGAAGGCGTGAAGCCTCGCTGCCCTCGCCTGCTCCGTCGTGCCTCGTTTTCCCTTTCTTTTTTTATTTTTATTTTGATTTGTGTAAATTGTAATAATGTTTGATTTTGTCTCCTCTTCAATTGATTTTGCCAGACTTCAATTTCCAGGCTTCCAGTTCCTTCCAGTGATTTGATATTGCCCTGTGATTTTGGTGGTTAGTCATTAGTGATTTGATATTGCCCTGCGATTTTTGAATTGCACTGTGAAACGTGAATTGAATATAGTGTTGCCCTGTGACTGTGAAGTGTGAATCGGAGTTAGTATTGCCCTGTGAAGAGATTTGCTTTGACTTCTTAATTTGAGTTTATGCTAGAATTTTGTTGGTTTGCATTGCAGTAATTGTTAGAATGTAATATGTAAAATTCATGTTTAGCTTTTTTACGTGAATTGGATATCTAATGTTTTAATTTAGATATGAAATGAAGAGATTCTTTCAAAGAAAAACTAATGTAGACAATGTAAATGTTGATGGGGGATGTCAAACAACCAAAAACTCATTGTTCAGCATTGATAAATTGTACCCGCACTGAGTTACTTTCCTGCCTCCGCCCCTTCCCCTGCCCCTGGCATCAATTTATCTTGTGTAGCAGTGATCTTTACTCTACTTCTTCATCAACAAAGTTGGAAGGTAGTATCAGATTTTTTTAGTGTAAAAACGGGTTTTATATGTTGAAATATTTGATTGTTGTGAATGATTTAATTTCAACTCAACTCCTTATAATTTATTTATTTTTCCAAAATTGTTGTTTCTTGATAGTAATCTTCCTCCTGCAACAGTTATTTTTTCGACAATATTTTTCTTGAATTTTTGATGCCGTTGTTTATGGTTTTCTCATTGCCTCAAAAACTGGCCCCCAGGAGCAAAATTCAGTGAGGGCAGTTTCCCCCACTAGACCCCAGGTGGCTCCGTATTTATTTTATTTTTCCTTGTTATGAATTTTGCTGAGAACTTGAGATTTGCAATTCGTTTAATCATTAATGTATGGATTATATGATTTTTTTTGGGTTTTCATATCAATCAAGAAGTATTAGATCTTTTTTTAAATTAATCCTTAGTGATAAAGGATTAGTATTCAATCCATTACACGAGTTCCAAGGGGATTGAGGGCTATGTTAAATTACTTCCCTTTTTGTATGCTAATGAGTTTAATAGCTCATGGAAATATTCTATGAAATCACTGAATGCAGCTATTACTTATTTTTCGGGTATTTTTCCTTTAAGTTTTATTGATGATGAGCAGCGTGCCTTGCTTCGCTTTAGGTGTTAAAGCTCTTAATACACATATCTCCCATTTGTAAATATTTCTTTTTTGTTCTGATTAGTGTTCTGTTTGGCAGGCACTTTTGGCAGAAGATCTCCCATAGATTTTGTCCCAGATTCAAAACTTAGAATCTACTCAAAATTGTAAGTGTGCAAATTAATTTTTTTTTTCAATATAGCTTTTGGATTGCCCGACTGGGTTTCTATCAAATAGTGTTTACGTTATGTTTTCAGAAAAAGGAAGTTCAACTGTGAAGTCTAGGGGGCTTTGTTTGTCTCGAAATCAGCTCCATCAGCCAGGAATGCCTTTAACTAGGCTTTAGCCATAAGCTTCCTCAAGTTAGCAATTATGGATGAAGTAATCCAAGTCGACAGAAATTTCCCCTTGTTTTCTAGAAAAAAACCAGCTGCTACCACCACCGTAAAATCCCTACCTTCCGGTGAAACAGATGTTCTTTCTGCACCAAAATCAGTCATAAAAGAATCAGACCCTGCTCCTGCTGCTCCAAAATCAGTCTTAAAAGAATCAGACCCCAATCCAACTCCTGCTCATGTAACTTTCTTAAACCTTGGCCTAGACAAATGGGTTGTTGATACTTGCAAGGAGCTGGGCATGAAGCAGCCCACTCCGGTCCAACGTCACTGCATTCCCAAAATACTAGCTGGGCAGGATGTCTTGGGCCTGGCCCAGACAGGAAGTGGCAAAACAGCAGCTTTTGCTCTGCCCATTCTTCAACGTCTCTCCAAGGATCCATACGGGGTCTTTGCTCTGGTGTTGACTCCGACCCGAGAGCTTGCATACCAGTTGGCCGAGCAATTTCGAGCTTTCGGGGCAGGTGTGAACCTGCGATGCACTGTGATTGTGGGTGGCATGGACATGATAAACCAGGCACAGACTCTAATGCAGAGGCCACATGTGGTGATTGCCACTCCTGGCAGGATTAAGGTTCTTATCGAAGAGAATCCTGATATTTCTTCTGTTTTCTCGAAAACCAAGGTGATTGGGTTTTTCAGTTTTCTATTCTGTTTTATTCCTACTTGTATTTTTTATAATTGCTAAGTGGTAATTGATTCCTATTATAGACCGATATTGAATTTTATTTTGGAGAAAGAATTATGAAAATTGTGTGATATTTTTTGAACACATTAATCTCTGAATAAAGGAAAATGATGTACATAACAATGGTAAATGAACTGCCTTACGAGGAAGAAGGTATCAATTTTTCTGAAGATAACATTTGTGGGAAGCTAGCTTTATATTGGATTTATTAGAATTTGAAAGCAAAACATTAAATGTCTGTTTTAGTGGTATTCTAAAGTCTTAAGCTTCTATTTGAATTTAATGAGTGTGGTGTGTGTTGTGAGTTTCCTCACCAATTGATATAGCTACTAGACTTTTTAATGAATTCACAAGTAATGTACCTCTAGAACATTTGAAGTTTTTCACCACAAATAATTTAAAATGAGTGCAACTAGCATTGAATTCAGAGCTTAGCATACAACGAAATATGAATATTCCCAAGTCTGATTGTTGTACCACTAATCATTGCCGGCAAATGTACTATTGCTTTATGGTGAGCTTTCTATTGATTCAAGAGTTCTTGGTTATGTCAATGATTGTGGCACAACACTGAGTAGGGAATCTTTCTAAGATATACATTACGGGCTCCCTCCAATTCTCTTTGTTACTGCTATTTATGATACTGAATTGTGGCCTACATACTACATGGAGAGTTTCATAGATCATAGTCTTTACTACATGCTTATCAATTTCGTTCTTTTTTTTTTTAAAGTATGATGAGTTTCCATTACAATGTCTAGTATCTATATCTGGTTAAATTAGACTGTCGATGTGCTTTTATCGTCCACAAGCTTTCAAGCATAACACAATATATCTGTTGCAGTTTTTAGTTTTGGATGAAGCAGACAGAGTTCTTGATGTTGGCTTTGAAAGAGATTTAAGAGTTATCTTCCAATGCTTTCCCAAGAATCGACAAACTTTACTATTTTCTGCTACCATGACAAGTAATTTACAAACAGTGCTCGAGCTTTCTGCAAATAAGGCATATTTCTATGAGGCTTACGAAGGCTTTAAGACAGTAGAGTCTCTGAAGCAGCAATATCTTTTTATCCCCAGAAATGTGAAGGATGTATATCTTCTGCACGTTCTGACCAAAATGGAAGAAATGGAGATTCGATCTGCTATAATTTTTGTTTCTACCTGCAGGTATTGTTTCATTGAAATGTCAAGGACATTAGATTGGCTATAAGCCTATAATTGTTGTAAACATGGTATTATGTTATTATCATGATACTAAATGGCTGCAGGGGATTCACCAATCTCTTCATAACTGTTTATGGAAGCTTGGAAAGTTATCTTATGTGTGTGAGATATTGATGTAAAAACACTCTTCAAACACTACATTTTGTATTAGAAAATAGCATAATAATTGGGCAAAGCTACAATCTGTCAGTTGAATCGCTATGGCATGACTGTCAAATAGTTGACTCAATCTCATAAAATGGCCATGATTGAAGTAGAGTAAATTCAAGCATCAGTACAATAAGTCTACAGCTTAGTTTCTATAGCAGTAGACCAGTAGTGAAATTGCCCATTTTCCATGTCAACGCTAATTTTTCAAAATAAGAGAGCTCAAGAGTGGAACATGGTGCATCAGTTAGCGTGCATCTTGCATCGATGAATAGAATACTCTTATTGTAAGTTTAATATCAAAAAGTTAAGTTTAACTAATGATAGATCACTTCTGAGAATTTAACATGGTCAGGGTCCCTTGTTTATATGGGAACTGATTAGTTCTTGTGCAAACCTCGTCATTTGTCTTATTTGATCCTCATTGGATGTTTTCTATATGTTTACTGGGATTGAGCAGGAGTTGCGAGCTCTTGTCTTTGTTGCTGGAAGAACTCGAAGTGGAAGTTGCAGCATTGCATTCTTTCAAATCCCAGTCTCTAAGGCTTTCTGCGTTGCATAAATTCAAATCTGGTCAGGTCCCTGTATTGCTAGCCACGGATGTTGCCAGTCGCGGTTTAGATATTCCAACAGTCGATCTGGTCATAAACTATGACATACCTAAGTAATTGCTCTAACCATTTGTTTAATTGTTATTAATACATCTAGCATTGTCTTCACCAAAATCCACTGTCTACTCATTATAGGTATGCTCGGGATTATGTTCACCGTGTTGGGCGTACTGCAAGAGCAGGAAGAGGAGGCCTGGCTGTTAGCTTTGTCACCCAGGTATATATTCAAATTTGCTTTGTTCAATTTTGAAGCTGCAATTATTTAGATTCCAATACATACAAAAGTTCCTTACCCTACCGACCTTTTTGGAAAAGACAATTTCACTGTGTTTCTTCACTTCGTTCTTTCTGCATCAAACATGCAATGGAGACTGTCCTGATAGATATTCACGTAGTCCTTCATTCTCCAAAGATTTAATTTGTTTAATTCTTGATATGTTTTACATTTTTGTTGAAATTGTGCAAACTCGTCAAGTAAGTTAAATTATTCAAATCCAAAGTAGAACTTCTATTAGAAAGATATCAGATAATTTAACCCCTTCCTTTCACTCATCATAATGACCAGCGATTAATTCTAATGTTATGGATGCTCTTCGTCGGTCTTGAATGCACGTCTTTAAGGGTTTCTTGCTTCCATTAACTTGCATAACTCAGTTAGAATGTGTGGTTAAAAATGAAGGAAAAGTTATTGATGTGATGGAAATATTATTTTATTGAAGAATGTGTAGTTAAAAATAAGTAGAAAAATAAGAATGAAAAAAATAATGTGTACCAAACAGAGCCTTAGATTCCAATACATACAAAAGTTCCTTACCCTACCGACCTTTTTGGAAAAGACAATTTCACTGTGTTTCTTCACTTCGTTCTTTCTGCATCAAACATGCAATGGAGACTTTCCTAATAGATATTCACGTAGTCCTTCATTCTCCAAAGATTTAATCTGTTTAATTCTTGATATTTTTTACATTTTTGTTGACATTGTGCAAACTCATCAAGTAAGTTAAATTATTCAAATCCAAAGTAGAACTTCTATTAGAAAGATATCAGATAATTTAACCCCTTCATTTCACTCATCATAATGACCAGTGATTAATTCTACTGTTATGGATGCTCTTCGTCGGTCTTGAATGCACGTCTTTAAGGGTTTCTTGTTTCCATTAACTTGCATAACTCAGTTTTTAAGATATATTTTGCAGAACGAGGTGGATCTTATACATGAAATAGAAGCTGTTATTGGAAAGCAATTGGACGAGTTTGAGTGTAAAGAAAAAGAAGTGCTGGATAATAATATTACACGGGTAAGAGCGAGCATTCTAAAATAATTGTTCCTTCATTGGTTAGTATTGTAAGTGCAACTTGTTACTAGATTTTGTATTCTATATCCAGAATCAAGCTTTTACTATCAGTTACACGAGCAAATTGAGCTTTCGATGAATTATTGTCAAGTAATATATGACTTGGATTTCATTTTGCGTTTCAGATGAGGCTACCTAGTAACATACTTGTCAACTTTTCCCGTGATTTTCAGGTTTACAAAGCGAGGCGCGTAGCGACAATGAAAATGATGGACGAGGGCTTCGATGAGAAAGCCCAAGCCCGAAAAGCTCAGAAATTGAAAACATTAGCAGAAAAAGGCTTATTGAATAAGAAACGCAAAAAACGTAAAAGAGAAGTTAAAGAAGGAAAAAACTAAGATATGTGGCCTATCTTATATCCACTGTTGGCTGCATTAGAAGGTTTCCATTTAACTTATCAACTGGAGGAGAAAGCAAGACCGTGCTATTGGTTTTTGGATTAGATTATTTTGCTAGGAAATTTTGATTGTACTTCTTTACGCGTTAATTATGTTGCTGTAAAGTTTATTGTGTGTATGTACAAGTACGCCAGTGGATGATCGTGTTCTTGAATATGTTGAGGCACTCATTTTTCCCCATAATGGTTCTCATTCAGTTATTTGCTCGATTTCTTTTACATGGATGGTCATCTTGATTTTAATTACAAGAGATACTTTGCCCCTGTATGGTTCAGCTAAAAAGAAAGTTAAAATTTTAGTCAAAGTCAACAATTAATTTTAACCAACATTTCATGAAATTCACAGCTTTTCAACAAATTTTTTTATCAAAATTTACAGAAAATCTGATTTTCACATAAACCAAACATGGGCAAAATTGTTTGCCGACGTGAAAAGGAATAATCAGTGTGAGAGAAAATGAGGAAAAAAAACACTCGGGTTTCTAAAGATCCGCCTTTCCAATTCTCTCGTGTCAAAATCCTCCAGTATTTCAAGAGTTGTGTCTACATGATGATAGCAGCTTCCTGAAGCTGTCATCTGCTTTCAAGTTATCTTCTTCTAGAACTGGACTGGAGAGCAACCAAATTGACTTTCGTTTCAACAGTCAGGATGAAGAACCATATAGTCACTGGAGAATTTAGCATCTGTGAAGTGGTGCAGGATAGATGTCCAAATGTTTATAACGCAGCCGTTCGTTGTGAGGCAATAGTCCTTCCTGGATAAGAAAAAACAAATGCCATTGCTAAAAAATTCGAAAGCTACAAATAGCTGTACTTCAACAAAATTCTGAGTCAGAGGTTGAGTGAAACGAGGCTTCTTGCATTGCAGGATATAAAGGACTGATAGTCTATGACGTGCCAAAAAATGAATACTATTACCTCTTCTAAGTTAATTTGGTAAGGCTTCGCAAAATCTTCAAACATAATTGGCGATAATCCTTCCATTCTTTCTTTGACTTCCTGGAAAAGAAACAGTTAAGCATGAAAGCAATTGCATATATGAGTCGTTTGCTAACATTGCACACTTCATAGTGTTCCAAGAAAGATGAAAGCAAGCAAACTGAAATGAACTGTCAAACACAATATTACTAATGCCAAACAAAGAACGTGACATTTATGACCAACAAAGTTACTACAATGGACGGAGTAACACACAATAGGTAGAACTTACAGAAAAGTTGTCCCAAAACTTTTGTTAAATGTTTTACTCATTTTCTGGAGCTGAAACCATGGAATATCAATGCAACTACAGATGAGACCCTACAGGTACAAAATAATGGTGTTTCCAAGGACCAAATTCTAAAGATTCAGAATCGTTGACTCAATTCTGCTTCCAAGGACTTCTTCTCATCATTTTTTTCATCAGCGACAGGGATCTGATGCATTTATGGTTCAAGTGATGGAAGGGGAGAACGAGGAAAAACATTTTTGTGGAAGTTTGGTTTGTTCAATTCTCCATTTAGTCTCTTCCCTAGTATCAAACATACAGAAAGAAATTGAGCAACTATCATACCAATCCGGTTATCCTCGAGTTTTCTAGAAGTTCCTTTGCAATCAAATCTAATATCTCTCTGTTGTCCGTCAGTCCCTTCATTGCAAGTTCTTCTGTCTCTTCAATGTACTGTCATTGACATGTAATTCATTCAGATAAAAAGAAGCTATAAGTAGGCAAAATGTGACAAATCTTTCTTGTAAAAGTAACATAAATTCTATAACGATGCGCTAAACCTTTCAGTAACACTGTGCTCGTTAATTTATGAGACTTAATCACTGTATATGTGTTTTCTTTTTTCACATAAACTTGGTTTTATATACCTGGTGGGGATGTTATTGGCTTGTATCACTACTGGGTGTTGCTTCATTTTGATCAGGATGGTAGTAACACATTTTATAATTTGAAAGTTGCAAAACGTAATTTGACAAAGAGAGAGGCATATATAGAACCCTAATACAGAAACCTATGAACTGGACACTTATGCATAGGTGATAAAGATTTCACGAGTTAGAGAGATGTATGAAGACATACTTTCTTTTCTAAAAGCAACACAAAGTGAAAAGCTTATGGTGAAAAGGAGATGCAATTAATTGAAAATGAAATTGAAAGCGAACTCCCTTTGTGTAATGGTGGAACACCATCCTTATAAAATTTCATTACGTAGAATCACCATCCTTATACAATTTCATTACGTAGAATGGTTTCCAACAAATGTGAGGATTTTTGTGGCAATAGTTGTAATGAAATCATAATCTTATAACCACATCTAGGAAAATTCATTACCCTTGTCAATTCTCGGGTAAATAGCTCAGAAACTTCAAGTGTCATATCAGCTGGAATGATGTGAGGATCGTCCCACTAATATCAAATAAAATTGGACTAAGTTAGTTATCTGAGAGTATCATTTAAAAACAAAACTGTACTTTATAAGATATATTCAAGCTTCAAAGGAAATATATGCAAGTAAAAGAAATACCTTATATTTTATCATCTCACCATCCGGATTATCTGGTCGATCAGCTAGACCGATTCTCTTTGTCAAAGCAGTGAGCCCCAACCTATGATTCATAGGGCTTATCACCATTTCCCGAGCAATCTGAGGATAAACTCAAACAATTGACTAGACTTCAATCATAAACAATAATACTATTTTGCACTCCTCTTTTTCGACTTTATGCTTTAACATTGACAAGGCCTCATTACAATAAATTGAATAAAAGCTCTATATTTGAATTTGAATCTAGAAGGTATTTTATGTTACCTTCGTAATTTTTTCTAAGTCATCTCTTCTTCCATCAGTAATGTCATCACCAAACACAATACGCTCAGCACAGTGTCCCCCGTGAGCAACCACCATTTGCATTTGCATGTAGCCAAAGGTTGTATAACCTTGATCAACCATATCTTCTCGAGGATAAAAAACAGACACTGCAGTTTCCTGCTCAAGCATGCAACAGATAAAGGTCATTCTAAGTAAAAACCTATGAAATACACTTCCAAATATGCATTGACCTCATATTGTACCTTGCCGCCTGGCAAGAGCTGGGAAAATGCATGCCAGTCAAATCGAGGGAACAAGTGTGCCAACACTATGTGACCAGCTTCATGTACAGCCAGAAGTCTTTTCTTTTCCAAAGACACCTGATGTAGTTGATATATAATAACAGAAAAAAAGAAAAGAAAAACTATAGTTAAGCGGAATTATATGTAAACCACAACTTTGATACGTTCTATGAAAGAAAACCATACACTTTGTTCACATTTTTGCTGCTCTTCTTCAGTTAGAAGCACACCCATACCCTCAAGCAACTGCTTGTCCAGTACATCGACAATATCTTGCTGGTAGATCTTAGAATGCCCTTTTCTCACCTTGATGGATAATAAAACAATAAAAATCCTCTTAATTAGTGACTTACATTTCCAATGCATCAATAAGCATCCTTTGACTGCATTAACAGACATCTTTATCAAAGAAGAGATCATATCAAAAAAGTTCTAGACTCGTCTAGCTCTGCAATTTTCAACTGGATGCCAAACTGAACATATAATATGAGTTGAAAGAAGTTCTGAAGTTTTAAGATCAAAATCTGTGTAAGTTAGCAGAAAAATGTAATTTGAAAAGAGTTTTATTTCAGGAAAGTGGACTACATATATAAGATGCGAAATCAAAGGACCCTACTCAGTTTATAGATAGATTGCCTTCTTATGCTAAGGGCGTGGATTTACATCAAGTTGGAAACTCGGAACCGGAACATCCAAACATAGAATTACAGACTATCAAATTGATTTAAGCATCTTCAGATAAAGTGCAGAAGCAGTTGAAATTTTGAAAAAGTACTAACTGCGAAATAAGAGGAAGACAAGCAAAATGAAAAACTATTTTACTACAAACTGTGCCTTTACAAATATTTCTCATTTTTCCTTCTACACCACCAAAGCTTCATCCATCACTGGAGCTAAAATTAGAAGCACACAATCACGAGGACATCAAAGTGCATAAACCAGCAAAATTAAAATTAATTTCCTTGGATTGAGCATAATAACTTACAGACATAATTCCAGCTTCATTGACTAGGTTTCTTATATCTGCACCAGAATATCCAACTGTGCGAAAGACAAGCTGTACAGGAAGAGAAAAGTAAAATACAGTAAACGGCTTTACCATTCATTGAGCATATTTAAGCAACTATCTCATTACTAAGTGCCATTAGAGGCAAGTTAAAAGGTAACTGAAAACTCGACAAGAGAATACAGACGAAGAGAGTAAAAAGGGGACAAGAAGCAGTAACATACCTTTTCAAAGTCAACGTCCTCTGCAAGCTCCTTCCCAGCACTGTGAACACCAAAAATTTGCAGTCTTTGGTTTGCATCAGGTAACCCAATGTACACACGTCGATCAATACGCCCAGGGCGAACAAACTCTAGGTCCAGTTCATCTGGTCTATTAGTAGCACAGATAAAGATAACAGCTTGCCTTAGTGAGAATCTATCAACACCAGTTCTTTCTTTCCTGGGGACAGAAATATTACTTTTCAGCTTTAATTATAGAGCAGGTAAAATATTAATCATAGGATTGAAGCAATATTCTCAGAAGATGATCAAAAACTTATTGATCAAATTTCACCACACCCTACGAGAAAAAAAGTTTTTCTTTTCTCGTTTTCCCCCCCAGGCAGCACATACAGGAACCGTGTAGAATTATGCAGTTGGCAAATTATATAAGAGCAGCCAGATTAACATGTTATCCATGCTATGTGATGAAGTTAGATGCACATAGAGATGCTGTACATAAAGTAAATGCAGATACTAACTCTCCATCCAACTGAGCAATGAGAGCTTCAAATGTTGCTCTTCTTCGTGGATCCTTCCTCGCATGCCTTCCAGCAATAGCATCTATCTCATCCACAAATACAAAAGCAGGAGCCTGCACAAATGACTAGTCAATTAGTACGTGTTTCTTCCTAAAATTGAAACGATCAGAGTATGAGCGTGTGCAGAGTACAGTGTCCGTATGCATGCATGTGATACTCAAAAAATCTCAATTATATCTTGAGTTCCTGGATACCAGAAATTAACAGTTACCATGCTTATTTTGGAACTCGGATTGATGGGAACATGATTATTATAATCATTTCTGTATAGTGCTGTGAGACATTGCTCATGTAGTCAGATTAAGAGATGCGTATCTAAATACAAGTAATCTCTCATTTAAGTTTGGCTTCAAAGCTTGTTGCTTTTTTCAGTGCTTCTCAAAGAAGGCCAAAGAGCATCCAAAATGCATTAATTGAATAAGAATTTTGAGTCAAATGATCACAGACTTCCCAAGTACTTTTACAATAGTGTTAGCTTTGAGTGACCCATAATATGCGTATCTCCGGACATACTTTTTCCCAAATTTCAAGATTTTTAAGATATGAATTGTATTCTTTCCTAAAACACTGACCTTCGTGATCCTAATCTCTTAAGTGTTAAAGATAAACAGGACATGGCATTGAACATAATACAGATCTTTTCCATTCTAAGAGTCCAGCAATCTAATGTTATAGGAATCCAAATCCTTTTTCGACATCCAATCATTTACCCCATAAGATACAGCATTACAATGTAAAAAACAGTGTACTTACATTTCTCCTTGCAATTGAGAACAGCTCATTGATTCTTGCAGCACCACTTTTCTCGCTATCCGTAAACTCAGCACCAGAAGCAAAAACAAAAGGCAATCCACTTTCCTTTGCAAGTGTCCTAGCAAAGAGGGTTTTGCCTGTTCCTGGAGGTCCAGAGAGAAGCACACCCTACAAAGTAGATGATGAGACAGTGAATTGCACCGTCTGTAATTCGCAGCATGGTCCAGACTTATTTGCTTCATCAATCTTAGAAATATATAAGCTTACTCGAACAAACTTCACAGCCTTTTCATAATACTGCATGGGGTTTCCCATGTATATCATCAACTCATCCAGAAGATCCCAGACATCCCCTCCTAAGACTACATCTTTGTACATTGATTTTGTTTCACCAACTTCACCAACTGGCTGGGTAAATGGTGAAATAAGAGATCAGAACCAACTGTGGTTATAGGTAAAAGATGCAGTTCAACTCAGAATAGAATACTTACCAGAATAAAATTTTCAGCATAAGCCATATCAAAAAGTTGGTTATATTTCTTATAAAGAAAGCGGTTTGTTGTAATATGAAGAAGCATAAGAGATTCTCTTATAAACCATAAGATTAATATTCCCGGCAGTAAAGCAAACACAACTTTTAGGAAGTAATGGATCTGTCGCTTCTGAAGAAGATCTACTTCAACACCAGCACCCGCTATTGCCTCAAACAAGAAAGGATCGAGTGGAATATCAACCTGAGAAGGTAAGAAAAATAGAAAGTAATAAGCATTTGGACCGAGGACAAATACCATCTTTGCAAAAACACAATTACATACAGACTCACAGTATATTCTAGAGGGAACCCTTCTTTCATGGTTACGTACAATCTTTTCAGATCCTCTGTAAAGACAACAGCAGCAACCTGACAAATAGAGCTCATGTTAGGAACAGCCTAACATATTAGTCTACTTCGGAATAAGTCATTTAAGAACATTGTAATGGAGTCATCTTTTCTAAGCAGTGGACCTAAGGATCTCTTGATAATTGTAGGATCTAATATTATTCCAATTTTAGTTTACGCAAGGTTGACATATAAAATCAAGAAGAAAATGAAAAAGAAGCTGGCTGCAATTGACTATGACATCAGCGAAGGCTCCATTTCCACTTCTAAATCCTAACATCCATTCATCAAATTGTGCGGAATACATAGAAAGGGAAATTATTTGTAATTCCTTGATTGCAATACAAGGAACTCTTAAGTCCATTGCAACTGTTTGAGACACACAAGTCCTTCATAAAATTACATCCACAGGAGTCCTATATCTAGAAGAATATATTTGCTCTAATTTGTCCTTCAACTTTAGATTCACACATGACAGTTTAATATTTGTGCTCTTTTTAATTACTATTTTTATATGAACACTATTTTGTTTTCCTCATTAAGCTAAATTTTCATTTCAATCAGTAAATACAAAGTGAAGGATGGTAGCAACCAATAACTGCTAGAATTATATTAATTTGTCCTAGTAAAAAAAATAACAAAACTCGTGACTTGTGAATTTGAAATTCCCACTTTGTGGAGTTAAGCCCCTGTTTGACTCACTTCAAAACAAAACAATTTATTTCTCGTACTCATTTTCAACCACACATTCACACAATAAAATATTTTGTACGTAAACCCAAAACTTTTCCCTATTTTTTAAACACACATTCTCCAAAAAAAAAATCATTATTCAAAACATCATTTTTACACAATAATGGCCATCAAATAGGGGCTATAGATGATGTTCTCACTTCAAAAATATATTATTCTTATATTTGAAATTTAAAAAAGATCTCAAAATATTTTCATGCTATTAAAAGCAGGAAAAAGGTGGAACTCCACTGCATACACAAAGTAAATAGGAAATTAGGGGCCATAAATTATATAAAATTATTAAATAATAACTAAATATTAACATAATGTGTCCTTTCAAATGGTTAGGATTTTTTCAAATATCTCTTCATGCAAAATAGAACAGATATGTATTTTTCCCAATATTGAAAGAAGTGGCTTTCTGAAGCACCTTGCCAGAGAATTGCTTCTCCAAAGAACTTTTAAAGAAAAAGGTCTTGTTCTATCTGAAGTAAATGATCCTATAGGATATATAGGGAGAGGAGGACAAAGGATGATAGAAAGTTCACCTCTGAAGAATCAAGTTTCTGAAGAAAATAAGTATAGGGAAGTTTTGGACGGTAGCGCCACCATCTTTTTGAGATCCACAGTGCCCTTGTTCCTTGTGTTTCATTAACCTTCTCGACCACATCCTTACGAAGGCTATTCTCTACTTCTTTCATGTCAAATTCAACCGCATACTTAGCATTTAATGAATCTAATTGTTCATTTGATTTCTCCTTATGAAGAATTTCTTTCCATGCTTGAAGCCTATCACGCCATGTTCCTACTGTATCCTGATTTTCAACTGTAAAAGAAACATGTCAAGTAAGATCGCAAGAAAAGCAAGAATAGATTAGTACATTAGCATGTTATATAATATGGCCGTGAGAGAGTCCACTGGACAAAAGTGAAGTGACGACTATTTTGCAACCTGAGAGCGCAAATTAAAGACTGGAGAAGATTTAGATAAATTCAAGTTCTTGTAGACTTTTGGACTTCAAGATCCAATTGGGCTCGATAAACGATTGACAATTGGCGTATAAGACACAAAAGGTCAAACGTAACTAACAAATGCTTAAGATTCACGATGCCTCTCAAATCTCAGTTACAGCGTGATCGCAGAGCATTAACTATGCTTAAGTACTAATTTATACATTTCCTAAACCAGGATTACCTTATTACTTTCAATTTTCCATACGTTCTACTGTTTCTTCCGATTTTCAAACACTATTCTCGGGAATTTCCCATTAGCACCGAAAACAGCCCCATAAACCCACTAAATACTCTTCAGTTAATCAGAAAATATCTCCAGTCTCATACCCAACCTTTGGGCACACAATCCACATCATATCCCACCACAAATTTATCAAGGAGGATTTGAGAGAGTTTTCTTAAAGGTATCCTGCATACAGTCCAGCCCGTAGAAAAGGCAGACTTTAAATGTGGGGTTGGAATGGACAAAATTATCATAAAAATGAGTACCACAAGTGCTATAGCTCTAGTTTTAGCCCTAGTAGCTTGAAATTCTCAAATACAGGTTGTACATGGTCACTATCGTGTTATTTGTCAAACTAGTGGAATATGTTTAGAAGCAACTTCAAGAGAATAAGATGATTCAGAAGCAAGTTGATCTATTTAATCAACAGTTGTAATGCTAAAACGAAAAAATGAGGTAGAGATATTTAAATAACCTGATAGTCCAAATTCTTCTTTCAGACTCTTCTTATCCTCTGTATTCAATTTTACAGCGTGATCTATAATTTCTTTTACATTTTCCAGGGAACGGTCTGTGTCATCCTCCCATGCATCTTCCCCAACAAAAGAACTATCATGAACAAGTGTCCCATCAGGACTCTCAATGAACTTTTTGAGCTTCAGACCTTTTGGTGTAGTCTTCCTCCACAAACCTTTTTTGAACCTGAAGGAAGAAGAAAAGGTTGAAACTTTGAGCAACTTTGAAACATCAACATCACCAATTTCATTACATCAGTATTTCAACATCTATGCCACTAAACTATGGATATTGAAATTAATTTCATTTTATAACTTTGGTTCATTGAATTATTGCAGATACCGGGAGGTGATTGAAGCAAAAGATAATACTAGATAACAGAACAATTTTTTGGGTGTTGTCAAGTTCCTAATATGACAAGTTCTTAACTTCAAACTTGATCCTTCTTTTTTGATGCTTTAGGGCCCTCTTAAATCAGAACAATTATATGTGCTTTGCTCCAATTACCCTAAAGTCTAAAGACCTCTGCCAGTACCCTATACATCAAAAAGGCACTGTACCATATTGTCACAGAGAAATTTTTCTTTGCCCTTTTCCCGTATTCCAAATCATAATAATCAGATGCAAAGCCAGTAAGGATGGTGACGTCTCACTATTACCATTACAACATTCAACTGATTAATGTTTTCTAGAATTAATTATAGTTACTATGCTTCCAAGTTTTTTTTTTTCAGTGACCGAGCATGACAGGATATCAATCCAACCGTGGTCGTGAAAAATAGACTAAACCTAAAGGAAATTTTTCCGAGGAATGCAATTACTTTGCGGATAGATATTGGTTGTTAATCCACAAATTTAACCTTCTGAAGTAATTAAAAATAGAGACATCCATTGCCCATTAGTTAGAGAAAGGATTTTGCCAATTTCTGTCAAACGAGTACACAACTTTTATCCATTACAAAAGGAAAACTGTAAGTTGCATGAGAATGACTGGATTAGAAATAAACTTACTTTCGAACATTTGTAGGAGTAGGCTCAGGAATCAATGCCTCCATATATGCCTCAGCCAATTCTTTTCTTTCACGTTCAATAATGGGCGCTCGAATTGCCATACGTATTCCTTGATAAGAAAATATCATAACAAAAGCATATAGCACCAAAACACCCACCCTTTTGGGTTCCCAATTTTTTACATCCTGAGAACAACAAAAGGTAATACAATAATAATAATAATTTCCTCCAAGCCAATTTCAATACATATGAATCAAGCATTTGAGGACAAAGGAAGAGTAATTTTGATTGTGCTTTAAAGTGAGTTAAACTTGCATTTAATTTACTTATTTTGCCAACCATAATTACAATACTACTTTTTTACTAACAAAACTTACTTTGGAGCACAACCAAACATGATGTTAAGAATTCATCTTTTAAGACACATTAGCAAAAATTATACCTTCCAACGTTCCCATTTATTCCAATTAATGAACTGAGGTACCAACTCGGAATTCACCCGTTCCATCCCATCCCGGCTTTTCTGAATTGAGTCTTGCATCCAGCCCGACAATTCATTTACTCTATCTTTAGCAGAATTCAAGTCAAACCCAGTTTCTTTCTTCACAGACTCGCCCAATTTCTCAAGGAACCGCTGAGAACCACTGCGAATTGACTGTGAAAAAGGAACCCACGAGAAACCCTCGGGCGGGCCACCTGGATTTATGTCCGAGGAAGAAGATGCTGAAATTATGAGCCTTCTTTGGCGGGAAAGGTTGAGCTTGTAATTTCGATAATATAACGGCGGGAGGGTTCTTCTTCTGAGAAAATGGAGATTTTTTGAAGAGAAAAAAAGTGGGTTTGGTCTGCATTGGATTGGTGTAACTTCCATGATTATAAGCTAGAAGATAAAAGAATGAAAATGGAGATTTTGCTGCAGTTTGAGCAGCTGGGAATTGGGAGAAGGGGTTTAGAGGTTTTATCACTTTTATTTGTACTTATCTTTAAATCTTGAGCTGGTCCCTCTGGTTTTCATTATTTCAATATGCCCCCTTCTTCTCAATAATGTTAATGGGCCGAGTCAGTTGGCTCGTACTCTCTTCAAGAAAGAGCACGACCCAGTTCCTTTGAAATTTTTCAGGCTCGTGATTGTTTTCCTTTTAAATTTTTAATTACTTTATTTGCTTTTTGTTTCTTGACTCCTAGAAGAGCCAATGTGAATCGACAAGCGACTCTCACAGAAAAAATCATCTATTGTGCCCAAGACTCACATTCGAAACAAACCGACAAGTAGCTCGCCTCACTTAACATCTCTAACAAGAAAATAAATTTTGAGGTGAGACACCCCAATCGATCATCCCGTGGCTCGTCGAGTTGGCTGGTGGGTTTTGTAATAGGGATGGATACAGGACACCGTGACCCTTTTTGGTACAATTTTAAAAATTTAAAATAAATATATAATATTAAAAAAAAAAGCCTAAGCCATTTTTTTGTAGAATGAAAAATATACCGGTTATTGGACCCCTCACAAGAGATAGAAATTTTGAATTTAAATGTTGATGTGATAAATAACGATCATATTTTTCATTTTAATGAGATAAAAAGATGGCCCAAACGGGAGCTAAACGGGGACAAATGAGTGCACCGTCATGTCCGTCTTAAACTGGGCAAGGACAAAAAATCCCTGATGGGGGGGAACATGAGGGGGCTCTATGCCACTCCATCGCATTTCTGATGGGAAAAAAAAACACTTTCTCCAAGTTCGATTAACCTAAATTCATGTCAACCTAGAGAATATGAAAATAAAAAATATAGTTTAGTTTGTTTCCTACTCCATTGACTAACATGATCTGTTGCAATCGAATTTTCAACAAATTAATTTTGTTCACCTGACCAACTTCAAATTCATGGATGATAGCTTTGATTTGTTGTTGCTTGTCATGAAGCCCCCCTGTATTTCAATTTGTGAGTCAGAGATTTTAATGGTAACGGAAGTTTTCGAGTATTTACGTCAATGATCACTGATAGTCATTCAAGTTTTTAAGGGCTGATCCCGCACCACTCAAGATTCCCCATGAACTCGATATTCGATCAGCAAATCAGCTCCATAAGTTTCCAAAACATAAGGGTCTGTTCTATTTACCATTTTCAAGTCGTTTTCCATTTTCCAAAATAGTGAAAACGCATTTTTGAAAATAAGTTAAAAATTTTCAAGCCAAAATTTTCAAAACGCATTTTGAGTGTTTTTAAAATGTCAAAAAGAACACATTTTCAACAATCTCAAAATGGACCTCAAAACACAAAACTGAAATACAAAGAGAACAACCCCTAAACTTCCGGTGAAAAATTTCCCGACGCACCTCGGAAAGAGCCTATTTTTCCTCTATTCCCATCATGTAAATAGTGATTGATTCTAGCAAAACGGTGATTTGAATCAAATTAAATTTTTGATGCACTGACATATGCTCTACGCATTTCACATTTAAACAAAGAAACATTGTACCACCAATAGGACTATAAAGAAACACTTAGATTCGATTCAGAAATAACATGTTCCATAGTCCATATTCTAATATGTCTGCGTGATAAAAAGCTCTCGTCATAATCAACGATGGCATATAAGCAAATCAAACCTCGGACGTGCACCATCAAAAGCATTGTCTGCCTATGCTTCAGAGGATTCAACGGGGGTATCGGCTTTTGCTCCCCATTCTGTCCACGAACCATCATATACCGGAACATCCGTCTTCCCCAGTCGGTGGAGGCCCTGAGAGATGAATTGAGGTGTTTTTTAATTTCTGTTTCATTTAAGAATTGCACCATCGTAAAAAGAAAATTGTGTGACCGTATGCATGCCACAGTGAGCACAAGTGCGCTTGATCGGTTGGTTTGTAGGGTAGAGAGAGGGGGAATACCAATGCCAGGATACATGCAGTTACACCAGTGCCACACGAAGTTATCACGGGTTTGTCCAATGTAATTCCTGCAAAACGACTTGCCAATCAATCTTCTGTTAAGAAACTGCAACTCTTCACAGCAATTAATCTATTAATCTGGCCTAGATTGGTATAAACGAGTAATGAAGGAGACAAACTGTATACAATTAAGAGAATACTCGGGAAACCAGTAGCTACATCAAAAGTAAAAAGTTCCTCCTGCACAAGAACGCAGACCAAATGTGGCAAAAACACGATTCCACTACTACTTACCTTCTTGCTCAAATCTTTTCTTGAGCTCGTCTGCAGGTAAGAGTGTCTGTGAACCATCCAACATCTGCAAGGAACCTCTACATGTCATAAACTAGAAAAGTACTTCATTCTTCACTATGAAGAGATGAGCCTTTTTCATTATAAACTTGGAGTCAACTAACCAAGTATAAGAGGCCTAATTGAAAAGGCATATCACAACTTCTACAAATAACATTCATAGAGATCCTTTAACTCCAAGATAAACATCACAAAGGAATGAACCTCGTGTATGCTGGATACAGCAATGCAACTTACGTTCTACTATTTCATGTAAAGCGACAGATGAGAAAATTTAAATGCATAAATATCTGCACATTACAGAGACAACTCAACTTGTTACAAATTCTAATTTTGAGGGCACAAATTCATGATTTATATAGTTCATATACAAAGAGGACATAGTGATTGTCAAATTTTTGCTACTGCTTAAGGTAAAGAGCTTCCATAAAACATCATCCAAACTAGTGATTAAGAACGTTTATTTCGGCATTCTTTTTCTCTCTCTCTCTTTTTTTTTTTTTGTGAAGGGAAAATAGTTATGATAGGGTTCAGAATAGAGAATTATAAATAGCTGCATCTAATTTTCAAAAGGATGACTTCCAACCAATCATAAGATCCACTAATTAGAGGTAGCTTTCTACCTGGGCGAAAGGAATACATCTGCTCCCTGGTACATGGCCACTTCTTATACCCTTTCGGGGCTCTGGTGCAGCACCGTCAAATCTGCATAAAAAATTACATTTTACAGCAGCATGGTACACTTCTGGTATGACGATTTCACAAGCATAAGCAATAAACTAATGCTGAATCATTGATCATCTACCTAGCTTTTGAACGAGCATCTACATGCTGATATGTTTTCTCCTCCACATTTTCCTTGACCTGAAAATAGAGAGAAACAATGATTGAAACTGGAAAAAGAATTTTACACATCACACAGAAAAATCTTCTCAAAGCTTAACTTGCTGAAAACCCTGATTCCACATTTATACTGCGTCATCCACATTCATTAATAATCTTGATTCCAACTTGGTGTATGAAAATCCAAACAAGTCTAATTTTAAGCATAACATCCGTTAAATAAAAATCCTTAAAAAGTAAAATTTGAATAATTACAGATAAAGTTAGTTTTTCAAAGTTCAAGCGAGTGCACTTTAACTATGCATGTAATTTTGGTGTTAAAATTGTACATAACAATCCCTATAAGTCGAAAACACACGATGGAAACTGAGGCCCCACTTCAAGTCTTTTTCTGTGCAGGATTGAGCATGTATTAAGCAATTTTCTGCATTTAGTCTGAACCCAGAGGGAACAATCCCCTAACAAGGATGGATGCAATTGATTTTAAGAATTGTAACTTCATTTTTAATATAACAATGCAAACACGTTCATGTCTATTTATAACATGTCGTAAGAAACTTAAAAGGATATTGACGAGCTATGAAATATCCTTCTCATGATGCACAATCAGTATCAATGTAGTATAAAATGACGTTCATACAGAAAATAGCATCATCAAATAGAACTCAAAGGGCAACAGACCTGTTCAAGTGTCCAAACCAAATGTGGCTGAAATCTGGTTTCGAAGGTAACTGGCCCAACCTGCAAATGTTGCCATCAAAAGATCAAAAACAGACCACACATTAACATTGAATACCAACTGCAAAAAGTCATCTTTGAGGCACATTACATGAATGAAAGTAAGTGACTGATCGCTTGGAACTAATCGATGAAAGGAATTTTTTTTACCAAAAAAAAAAAATGGATGGAAGAGAGGCCGCAAATTGGTGCTTAAAGCATCTGTTGCGTTGGCATTATTGTACAAGAATAATGATTTTGCATTCCTTCATCTGAACTTGAGGGGCTACTGTAATTAGTCTAATTCATCAAGGATCCATCTAAACAGAAAAAAGTAATCCAGAACAGATTTAATGATGAATCTCAATTAAAAAGAATGTACAAATTGACAACACTGACTGTGCTGCCACTTTTGGCATTCTCTTTCAGCTTTGCAAACCTTCTTGCAATTGGCCAGATCACTCTTAAGATGCATCTCCACTCGTTATGATAAAAAGTCTTTGTTAGCTATTTTCTTACTTGTACGTGTCTCGGTCATTTCCCATCTCCTTTTATAAGTAACTATAAAGAGTTTCTCAGTTTCAGGTTCTTTTATCCCTTTCATCTTCAGTTTTCTTCTTCAGGTCGAATTTTGATTCTAGTAGCCATTTACAAAAGTGGAAATAGCAGATGGAAGGCACTTACTCTCTGCACTCTGTAAAATGAACAGTGACTTAATATTATTATCTTCATTTTAACTAAGATGAACTGAAACATGCACTATCCTGGTAAGCTGCATCATAAGCAATGGTTGAATTATAAAATTATATTCCAATTAAAACCTTCATTCTTTGAACTATTGAACTCATTATGTAATGTGCTAATTCGGCCACTTTTAAACATACAGACGGTTCCAGGAAGCAGATTAGATAGTGGTTGGCCAATAGTGCCAGCAGGCAGATGTCTTTGACTACTTGACTTTATTTTAACTCGTATGATATGTATCCACAAAAAGAAAAGGATAGAAAGGGAGATGTTCGACCAAAAGCACGACGACTGAGAAATACGTGTAATATTGATGATTTCTGTCAGTCATCCAAACAACAAACACATTATTAACCGAGGACGGTTAATACAATTTTACATAGATAACCCATTGACTTACATGCTGTCCTTGGTATACTTTCTCTATTGCCTCACTGGCAGCACTAGCTTTGAAGATAGCATCGCTCGACGCACTTGATTCAACATCAAATCCTGAAGCACGCCATCTAGGCAGACCTCCATCTAAAACCCAAATTCTATCATGACCGAAAACTCTGAACATCCTGTTATATAAAAGAAGTTGATGAGTTTATCTCTAATAATCAGAGAATACACAAGTTTAATGCTTCTATTTTGTTTACTTTGTTTTGAATTTAAAACTCACCACCAAACACGAGCTGCACTGAAAATTCCCTTTCCGTCATACACAACAAGCCCATCCTTATTGTCAATGCCAAGGGCAGAAACAGCAGCAGCAAATGCTCCCTCCGATGGCAACATATGAGGCAACTGGTAAATGCCATTATAGAGGAAAAGCATTATACATTATTTACATGCATATGCATATGAGTATGTATTTACAAATGATTATTTTATGGACGTATTGATAAGTATAGGTGTAAAAACAATCACATAGGTATACACAGTATATGTGTACACGCTATCAATGTAAATAAAACTCTGCAAAAACAAAAAAAAAATAAAGATGCTTGATCCTAAAAAGAATTATTACCGCCTCATTGCAACTAAACTTCCAAAAGATGCTTGAGTTTTGTTTGGTGAAGAACCATATCTAGACTTCAAAATGATCATACATTACACGAGATAACAAAGAAACAACGTCTTACATTGCTAATTCGATCTGATATGCCATCCACATCAAAGAAAAGAGCACCAGGAATATGTGCCACCTGTTCAAACAAAATAACTCCAAAATAAAAATCTGATGAAGAAAAATAAACATCAGTGGAGCGGTAGAAAACACAATATGTCATCACGAGAGATTTATGATTGATACATCACCAAATGGGTGCCTTTTGCTATTATACTGCTGCAAAGTAGAGGTATAGAGGCACATTTTAATTGAGCCACTGTACAAGGAAGATATATATGAACGTAAAACACCTGATATTCTTGAACTGGGTTTCTCTGTTCATCTGGCATGTACCAGGATGCATCCAACACCTGAAAAAGTTACATATTTAAGTTATGTTATAAAGGCCTTCACCATGAAACCAGAACATTATTACTAAGGAAAAAGGATTCTTATGCTAAAAGGTGGTATAACTTTGGGGTCCCATTTGACTATAACTAGCTATTTGGAAACTGAAATTAGAAGGAAACCGAATCTTATGCAAATTAAGATTTGGCATTTTAGGTCCTTTATGGTAAAAAAGAAGGGGAAAAAGTGTATATTTCCTTCAGAAACTACAAGCTTTTTTTTTTTTTTAAAAAAAAGGGATAATGGTTCATTTGCCTCAGAGAAGGCCTATAATGAGTTTAAGATTTAGGGACTCGTCATGCCAAGGAAATGAACTGAAACATTTAAACAAGAGTCAGCAAAAGCACGGGCTAAACAAATATTGATATATATGTGATTAATCAATAAACTCACATTTTCTTCCCTCTACCGTCGTTTTCTTGCAATATTTTTATATAAAAACATTATAGCTTCAGGTCAATTCGCAACCCAATGTTACAACTGAAATTAGTTAAATAAAAAGTTCATGAAGACATTAATATATTGAAAATTGAAAATCCAGTGCTCTGGATCTTCTTTGAGCACTGAAGGGCACTTTTGTGGGAATGACCACAGCATGGAGGAGAAAAATTGCCATTGATCCAAGTGCCAGTGAGGGGATCAGTAATGTCAAAATCCAGTCTCCTATATTCATTTTACTTTCTTACAGGAACCTAAGCTTTCAAGCTTAAACTTAGCACATTATCACATAAAGAAGGTAAAATCTTTTTAATTTGCGTGAATATAACAAAATTCCTATTAGCTTTATGGAGATAATGTAGGAAAGTTTGCTATATGAATGGTTACTTTACAAGAGGAGTATGTGATGAGACTTTGGAAAATGGCATCTTCAGATACTTATACCTAAAAATGCATTAAAAGAACATGGCATTCCATCGTAAAATAATTCAGAGCAGTCAAGTTAACAAAAGGATAACAGGTCAAAAGTAACAATGCATACCTTCACGTTAGGTTCTCGAAGGTTGGCATGGAGCCAATCCACTGAAACAACAGGTTCGTTGGTTTGCAGGGACTGCATGGAAAATGAAGCTTGAGAGGCTACTGCTGATGTAGTCATGCTACAATAAACAGACCCTGAAGCCTTATGTGACAAATGGGATGGAGCCAGCAAACTCACTTTACTAGAGAAGACGCACGACGAAAGAAAATAATGTATAATAAGTACACGAATGATAACTTCCCAAAGGATAATAGCATCACAAACTAACAGTCATCAAGTTTCTTTAACCAACCATAGATCAAGTGCGTTCAAAATGGGACAGCTATATTATGCAGATACTTTTAAAAATTCATCTTAAAATCACAATCTTTGTTGGATTAAATTAAATATATTTTCTAAATCAAACATCACTACTGGGAACAGACAAGTTCAAGAATAAATCAGCGTCCATATTACTATATGAGTAGGATAACCAAGTCACCTAGCAATTAGAAAGTCCAAATGAAGTTAATATCCTATTTTTATTATTCAAATTTTCTCTCTTTACTTCCTGACAGTGTAAAGTAAACAGATTTACATCACAGGTGGAATATGAACAACCAATTCATGCACTTACTCAATATAAAAGTAAACAAAACAGATTATTCGTAAATTTAAGAACGAACAGGTAAACCAAAGACCACCTCATGAACAGCTAATCACTAATACAAAAATCTTTAGTTCATCTAGATTCTAACAGTCCAATTCTCGCCCCCAAAAACAAAAATCCACATAGAAAACCCAATTAAAATAGTAAAAAAAAAAAAAAAAGGAAAAAGAGTGAAATGATCTCTTCTGCGTGCGCGAAAGAAAATAATGTATAATAAGTACAAGAATGATAACTTCCCAAAGGATAATAGCATCACAAATTAAGTCATCAAGTTTCTTTAACCAACCATAGATCAAGTGCGTTCAAAATGGGACAGTTATATTATGCAGATACTTTTAAAATTTCATCTTAAGATCACAATCTTTGTTGGATTAAATTAAATATATTTTCTAAATCAAACGTCACTACTGGGAACAGACAAGTTCAAGAATAAATCAGCGTCCATATTACTTTATGAGTAGGATAACCAAGTCACCTAGCAATTAGAAAGTCCAAATGAAGTTAATATCCTATTTTTATTATTCAAATTTTCTCTCTTTACTTCCTGAAAGTGTAAAGTAAACAGATTTACATCACAGGTGGAATATGAACAACCAATTCATGCAGTTACTCAATATAAAAGTAAACAAAACAGATTATTCGTAAATTTAAGAACGAACAGGTAAACCAAAGACCACCTCATGAACAGCTAATCACTAATACAAAAATCTTTAGTTCATCTAAATTCTAACAGTCCAATTATCGCCCCCAAAAACAAAAATCCACATAGAAAACCCAATTAAATAGTAAAAAAAAAAAAAAAAGGAAAAAAAATCTCTTAGGGTAACCGGAAAAAATTAACAAAATCCAGTCAGTGTAGACAGAGAGGAAGGGAAACTTACGGATAGTATCGAAGTGAAGAATTTGGGTTTGTGAAAGTGAGTAGAAGAAGATTGAAGGAATCGATGAGCTAAGAAAGCTCTGGACAGAACGGAAGATGCCATTTTGTATATATTTGTCCGGATCAAAAAGCACTAATTACAACGGAAATTTTCGCAGGTATTGGAGGATTGGTGGCTTTTTATCCCTTTTGAACTTCTTCTAGTGCACCAAGAATTTCAATAAAAAGCGAATTTTAATCGAAATTTGCGATATGTCTGCGAGAATTTGAATCAATCCATATTCAGCCAGCCGCAGATGAGCTATGGCCTGGTATCGCACCGGAGTGACGGTCAGTGGAAGTGAAACTTGGGTTCGGCGTTTATGAGGCGTGAAAAATAACGGGTCAAGAAAATAAAGAGAGAACGAAAACAGAAGAAAAAAAAAATAAATGTGTTTATTATTTAACGTTAGAAAATGCCATGTTTTTCTATTTGCGGTTCGATTATCTCTGAGATAACTCATAAGCCATACCAAGTATGTTCGCTTGGGCAGTGTTTAATTGACTTTATTTTATGAAAAATATTATTTTTCACTTAAATTCTTATTTCTTGGAATTTTTTCATAAATAAAAGTTAATCACGTGATCATATTTTTTTTCAAAATCAACGAGAACGTATTATTTAGTTGAGGGTAGATTTTTATTTTGTAGACAATTTACTCTCTCTCATCTACCTTACTTTCTCTCTCATCTATTCACCTACAAAAGAAGAAAAAGTACAATATTTTATAGATTAAAAACTAAATCAATCAAATACATTTAATTAACAATTTTCATGCAAATGAGTTCTAGTTATTTGCAATTCAATTACCTGGTTATTTTTTTCCATGCAAGTTCCATAATTGTAATCAAATACACCTTCATTGTTATCGTGACACTAAACCTTATAAAACGCTTTGTAATATACTAGTCGGATTTGGGAGGAAGTTGGCCTGGACTTAGTCCAACCAGCATCCAGCCAATTAAAATTTTTAGAGATAAATATTTCGGTAGTCACTGAACTTTTATACATGTCACGATTTACTCACACATCTTTAAAATTTATCCCATGGTCACTCAATTTTAAACCGTCCCACTCTGTTGGCCACTAGATCAAAATTGTTAAGAACGTTGTCCACATAGCTGACGGTATGATGACGTGGCACATTAAATTGCTAATTAGATGCCACCAAACTTCACTCCATCGAGTCCATCCAACTCCATCACTCACCCAAATTAAGAAGGTGTTTGGTGGGGATTAAAATTAAATTTTTTGGTAGATTGTGATATAAATTTTTGAAATATGTGATTAAAAAGTTGTGGGACTCATGAAAGATGTTATTGATATTGATTGTTTGACTTCAACTTATATTAAAATCAATTAAAATATGTATCAAACATGCTCTAAATATAAGTTATAAATATAATAATGAGATTAAATTTTGTAATAAATCTGAAAATTAAAATCAAAATTAAAAAAGAAAACTTAAATTTAAATTGTTAATATGAAAGTTTTTTAAACTTGTTATTAGGTAATTGATATTCTCGATTTGGGGCTTAGGGTTTTGAATGTTCCTGGAAGTAGATTTGAGAATTTTTCTTATTTCACTTTTCTTTGATTTGTTCGAAGAAATGGTTAGAAACGCATTTTGTTCTATTTAATTAAAGCGAGATTCAATTATATTATGAAATGTGTGTTTGGCAGTGATAATTTGGAACTGACTTGGCAATTAAATTCAAATTTGGAAGTATTTAACTGGCCAACTCAACTTTCATCATCTAGGTAGGCTTGTTTAGTTTCTTTTTTAATTTCAGTTTTGATTTAATTTTCAAATTTATTACAAAATTGAATTTCATTATTATATTTGTAACTTATATTTATGGCATGTTTGGTACAAATTTTAATATAAGTCAAAGTCAAACAATCAATATCAATAACATCTTTTCACGAGTTCCGCAACTTTTCGACCGCATATTTCAAAAATTTATATCACAATCTACCAAAAAATTCAATTTTAATCTCCACCAAACACCTTCTTAATTTGGGTGAGTGATGAAGTTGGATAGAGTGAAAATTAGTGGCCAACGAGACAATTTTGGAAGTTCGATAAGTAAACCGTGACATAGAACAAAGTTCGAAGAGTAATTCGTGATACGGAGGAAAGTTCGATGAGTAACTCATTTGCACACATGGCGTTGACGTGGTATATAATTAACAATTTAATGTACCACATCATCATACTGTCAGCCACGTGGACAATATTATTAACGATTTTGATCCAGTGGCCAACGGAGTGGGACAGTTTAAAGTTGAGTGGCCATGAGATAAGTTTTAAAAGTGAGTGAGTAAACCGTGACATATATGAAAGTTCAGTGGCCAATGAAACAATTAACTCTGAGATTTTAGGTCAATATTGTAACGGGAATTCACAACCTAAACATAATAAAAGAATAGTCAAAACAATTTTTTTGCTAGGGTGTGTTTGGTACCCATTAAAATTTTCATTCTCATTCCTTTACTCATTTTCAACCACATATTCTTCATTAAAATAATATTTTTCATCACATCAATAACTTTTTCTTCTTTTTCAACCACACATTCTCCATCGATCTACTATTCCAAAATACATTCTTCCAAAATAATATCCATCAAACACACCCATATGAAATTTGAAATGCAGAAGGCAATAACTTATAAATATTAATTCATAGGCTAGAATTTAAGAAACGTGTTATAGCCCGTTTGATAATCTTTTAAGTCAAAATTCTTTTTTTTTATATATTCATTTTCAACAATACATTCACACAATAAAATATTCTGTATATAGATCCAAAATGTTTTCTACTTTTAACTTCACATTCTTTTAAAATTCACTATTCAAATCATTGTCTACCCAAATAACGGCCATCAAACCAGGGCCAAAAAATAACATCGGTTTTTGTCTAAAGAAAACTGAATCAACCACATTATCATATAAGTTTCATTATCCTTCAAAATATTAGATTTGGGCCATTTCGCGCATATATTTATCTTTTAGTGGGCTGATGATATCTTAAAAGCCCATAACTAAAATGACCCACCCACTTGCTTACTATCATCAGATCGTATGAAAAGGCCCAGTTAGGATTTTGGGTGTTTTCCCTTCCACTGGAAATTCATTTTATCCTTACGATTGCTAAGAGAAGATAGTGCTGTCGCCGGAGCTTTCACCGGAATTTCTCCGCGAAGAGATTGAATTTTTCCGATGAGGACTTACGGGCGTGTGCATATATGCTAAGCGAGTGGCTACTGTTGACAGGCACTTTCAGACTCGTTAAAATAGAAAAAAATGAGTGCATAATTCGTTTATAAAATTGATTTGTAAAGAGAGAGTGTTCAATGTATTTATAAGTTTCACGATAATGTGGGTTTCTTGTCATACTTGAAAAATTGCTTAAACCACCTTTTACTTTAATTGGGCTAAAGACCTTTTTATGTCTTTCTTTGTTATTGATGCCAATGTTAAAAAGATAATAATATATATTCGATGTCTTACTCATGTTTAGCACCAATCTATGTAGTTTATGTGACGAAGTTTCACTATCTTACAGGCTGATAAAAAGTAGTAGTACGACTATGTATTATTATTTATGTTAAAAACTATGTAATCAACATGACATTCATCTTTTTCCTTTTTTGAAAGTAAGACATAAATCTATTTTCGATCGTTAGTTAACCAATTTTGTAATGAATAAAACTATGTGTACAACACTGGTTGACAATCATGTGTTGTCAAAATCTTAACACGTGATGTAGAAAACAATTTTTTAAAATTGATGAATATGATAATGTCAAATAGAATGCTGTCGACCAATGTCGGAAACCAATATTATACATATAGCATGATTGTTTTCTAATAGGATGGTCCATTACTCCCAAAATGGTTCAAACCAATATAAAATTAAAAAAATCCAATTTACCCAGGTCACTAAAATAATCCTCATAGGTTGTTTACAACTGAAGGATCTCTACTCTATCAAGAAAGATTTTCTCTTATTTTATTGATGATTATCTCATAGTTAAAAAGAATAGAACCTTTAATGCACATTTCTTTCCTTTCTCCTATTCTGGTCAATCCCTTTTTTTTTTTGGGTCACAAGTTCACCGAACTTCTTATCGTCCATTAATATTGTAAGATAACTCAAATTTACGATAAAGTGAATACTCGTAAAACGTATATCATTTATGAAATGTTATGTGTGGAAACTTGACAGAACTACAACATTTAGTATTGTTTAATTCCTCTCGTCATTGTCCATATATCAATAACTCCAAACTCTCGTAAAAATAACACGATAGAATGAAGATTTAAGAGCATGTGCATGATATCACCCACTCACATGTACTGCTGGCCCTCTTTTCTTGGATCTAAGTTTAGTTTCTATCAAAACAAAATCATAACAGCAAAGCAAAAATACCTTTTTTTCTACAAAAAATTTATTAATTTTAAGAATATTTTTTTGTATTAGGATTGCATGTGCCTTGTGCGTCAATTAAGGGAAATGGATTTTGACACTGAAAAGGACTCTCGAACCGTGTCAACTAATCAATAATAATAGCATACATCAATTTTGGCAATGATTATTGTTGAGAATTGAGTTGTTAATTTAAGCTCGGCATATGATTATAAGCTGTAAACAACTTTAGGATGAGTCAAAAGTACTTATTATATGTTGTCCTTGATTAGGGGCCAAAGAAAATTCGAGAGAAGTTCACGCGGAATTGCGGAAATTCAACGAATAAAATGAATGAAATTTTAGTCATTGCTTACAAGCTTGAAATTTTAGTCATTGCACCACTAAAATTTTAGTCGTTGCTTACAAGCTTGAAATTCTAGTCATTGCACCGTGCGTGCTATGTTGGGTTGCCTCGTAAGTTTGAAAAATGATACCGCTTGAATTTTTATGTGCTATGATGGGCGAGATAAGAGTCTGATCGCCTTTTCAAGGACTTAGTGCTTGTTTGATAGGGATTTTTGAGGGAAGAATTGATTTTTAAATAGTGATATGATAGGAAATGTGTGGTTGAAAAAGAAGAAAAAATTATTGATAGGATGAAAAATATTATTTTATTGAATAATGTGTGGTTGAAAATGAGAATTGATTTACTGTAGAATTTGAGAATAAAAAACAAACAGGCCCTTAGGCCCTGTTTGGTACACATTATTTCTTTCATTCTCATTCTTCTACTCATTTTCAACCACACATTCTTTAATAAAATAATATTTTCCATCACATCAATAAATTTTCCTTCATTTTTAACTACACATTCTCCATCAATCGACTGTTCGATAATACATTCTTTTAAAAAAATGTGTTCCAAACACACCCTTAATATAAAACTCGTGAAATCAACCCAACCCAACTCAAGTCAATTCCAAATGGTCAAGTCGGCTTTCGAGTTGAAATTTATCCAACCCAAAAACCTCAGTTTTAGGCTCGGGTTGTAAAAGGAAAATTGATTTTAAGGGGCAAAATACCCTTGAAACTAACAAACCGAACCTACAAGGGTTGGTTTTTTGAACCATTCAATTTGATTTTTGAGTTGGGATTTCTTCCAATTCGAATTCGATATGTTGTCTGATTGGGCCAAACCCTACCCGATCCGATCCCTCGTCACCCTTAATCTCTTTACATATCTAACTAAATTGGCAAAAAATTAGCTAAACCAACGGTCACAACGAATGCAACCTCGTCAGATGTATATTATGGCCTAACAAGCTGTACTTTACACACGTGCCTCACCTAAACATGTTCTAATTAGTGATCCACGTTGTATTAGATAAATTCAGATCCTAACTTAAATTTACAATAGGATTAATCAGTTTAATTAAATGAAAATCCATTATGGGGGTTATGCATTGAAGTTTAAAATCTGTTTCTTTTTCATTAATTATGGGTTATCCTTTACTAAAATTGGGAAAAAAAAAAAAAAACCGAAGAGCGAAAATTTTGACGAAAAAATGAACAAAAATTCATCGAAGTGGCATCGTTTTTTCTGCATTTCAATTGAAGTCTTTAAGAAATAAAAACAAGTTTGAGAGTGATTGTTATCGTAGTCGGACGAAAAAACAAGAATCGTCTTTTTTTTTTTTGCGCTAAATAACTTGATTAAAGTTTTGTCAAAACAAATTTAATCCGCACTGAACATGTCTCGCATCATCACACTTGCAGATTATTCTATACATTTAGAGCTTGTTTGGGAATGATTAAAATCGGATTAAAATTGAAAAACTAGCCGTTATTGTTGACTTTTATTAGACAAGTGAGATCCAATAACGGTTATATTTTCAATTTTAATCTGATTAAAATCTCTCCCAAACAAACTCTTAATTATCGAGTACATTTGTCACTCAAATATAGAGAAACCATGTAGGAAATACTAGTTTATTCAATAAATTACAAAGAGCGTGTTTGGCTACGTTTCGAATTTTAAGAAAATAAATTTTGTTAATGAAAGTGTAATTTTCTGAAAATTAGGGTGAAAAATGAAGTAATTTTCAATTTCTCCTTTCCTCTTGCAATCTCTTCAAATGTTACAGAATGAAGAGGGCAAAAAAAAAACCCTAATTTTCTTTTACTACGGACTTTCTTCATCGCGAAGTATTTACAGAGGGGAAACAATGATCTGAAAACTATACGATCACCGTCAGGTCAGCACGGGCGCATCAACACTGAACAATTTTTTCCAATTAAGTACCTTACTCAGCTAATCTTACCGCCTGTTCAACAAAACGTCGTTGTTTTACTGGTACATGTCATCAGAAAGTGAGCCGAGGAGATCCTGGAGATCACGTGACTGGCCGCCGACTTGCAAAGCCTCGAGCACCTGCTCAAACAGGAACACGTGACAGGGGATCCGCAGCACGCCTTCCTGCTCGTATCCGTATTCCTGCGCCGATCTATTGAGCAATTTTACAAAAATCGGATGATTCAAAAACTCGGCACTCACTACGAATCGCTCCATCTCCTCCCCAACGTACACCGGAAAGTGCCCCTTCGGTACGCCGCCGGAACCTTTTCGGAAAGACTCCGACCGACGAGGCCGCGCCGTTTTTGACTCCGACCGCAGCATACGGTACTGCGAAGAATCCGCCACTCTCGATAACCTTCTTATCAATTTCTCCATATTCTTCAGAGTTTTTTGTGTTAATTTGGAGAGAGTGAGAGAGAGAGAGAGAGAGAATGGCAGTTGGGGATGAAGAGAGAGTGAGGATAGACCGACGGGGGTATAAATACAGGTAAGATTCGCGTAAAGAATAAATGTTATAGGAAGGTACAGATAGGCGTACTTGGTAGGTACCACATAATTTCGAACCCTTCTGAAAAATAATTAATTAGGATTAATTAATTAAATTAAAAAATTGAATTTGTTAGATTTAAATTTAAAAATAAAAGATTTAGGGCATGTTTGGGTCGAATTAAAATCTGATTTTAATCTAAGTTAAAGTCAAACAATCAATATTAACCACATCTTTTATAGGTCCCATATCTTTTCAACCACACATTTCTAAAACTTCTATCACAATCCACTAAAAATCTAATTTTAATCCTCACCAAACACCCTCTTATTATCTAATAGTTCTTGTCTGTCAAACTTATAATTTATTTGATCTTGAAAAAACTTTGGAGATACATTACGTCTACTTTTTATTTAGCTAAAAATTAGATTTTTAATAAATTTTGATAATAAATTAAAAAATGTATAATTAAAAAGTTGATAAAAATTGTGTATTTTATAAATAAAAATAATGAAATTTTAAAAATAGGTAGATGAACAAGAGCTAAATATCAAACAAATGTATATACTAAGCCTTGTTAGGGAATTATTAATTGGGTAATTAGCAAATAGTATCCTTGCATTTCACCCTTATTTTGGAAAATGTCATTGTCTTTCATTTTTTGGCATTTTCACTCTTATTTTCACATTTCATTGTGCAAAAATTTATTTTCATCAATTTACTCAATTAAAAACTGTGAAACGACGAATATATTCTTTTATTTAAATAAAATAAAAGGAGAAAGAAAAAACTAATTGCAATCACAGTTTCAATTTTTTGTAAAAAGTGTAAACGAATCCAAATAAATTTATTAAAAGGGTAATTATCACATAATTTCTATAACTTTCGCTATTATTGTAAAAAAAAGTTAATGTCTTTCATTTTTTGATATTTCACCCTTAATTACACTTTCAATTGCACAAACTATCATTTCTATCCATTTTTATCTATTTTCTCAATAAAAGCTATGAAATGATGAATATGCTCTCCCATTTAAATAAAAAAAATAAAAATTTTAATAATTTATTTGGGACTCGTTTGCAATTTTTTTTAAAAAAAAAAAATTTCTAATTTTTTTAATAATTTATTTGAAACTTGTTCACACTTTTTTAAAAAAAAAATTAGGATTGTGGTTGTAATTAATTCTTTATTTTTATTTTTAAATATGAGGGTATTTGTAATTTCGCAACTTTTTATTATGAACATTGATAGAAGCAATGATTTGCGCTATCAAATGTGTAATTAAAGGTGACAATGTAAAAATAAAATAAAAGGTATAGACGTTTTCCATAATAACAATGAAATGTATGGATATTATGTACTAATTATGCTTTTATTAATTTATTTGGGGCTCGTTTATACTTTTTAAAAAATTTTGGGACTATGATTACAATTAGTTCTTTTTTTTATTTAAATAGAGGAGTATATTCGTCATTTCACAACTTTTAATTGAGAAAATTGATTAAGGTAACCTTTTACGCAATGAAATGTAAAAACAATGGTGAAGATGTTAAAAAATGAAAAGTAAGCACATTTTTCATAACAGTAGTGAAAAGTAAAGACATTATGTGCTAATTACATCTATTATTTTTATAAACATAATTGATCAAATCACTCATTATTTATATTTATGAGACCTAAAGTATTGTCAATATTTACACTGCTCATTTCGGTCATTTAAATACATTATAATAACATGGGCTAAATGATTTTATTAAATTTCTTTGTAACTACATTGAGTGGATCCAAAATTTTATTATGTGAACATACAATTGAAAAATGAATATAAAGAATAAAGAGTTTTGCAATACTGATTGTCAAACAAGGACTTAGTTCAACATGTTAATCAGTTAAACATCTGTTTGACGACAATTATTTCAAAATTCTTTTCTACATGCTATTTTCAACTAAACATTCACAAAAATATATATATATATTATATATTTTAATCACACATTATTCAAAAATTTACTATTCAAACTTTTATTTTTATCAAATAATTAAGGCTAAAGTAATTTTACTAGTTTCGTGAATTATAAAAAATAAATTGAGAGAGAGAGAGAGAGAGAGCCAAAAAAAAAAGAAAAAGGAAAAGAGGGGACAAGTGCAACAAACGTTGGGGGCGTGATTACCGGCTGCGGCCGTCACGTCTGTCTTTTTTGCCCTTTTCATTTTGTTTTTTTCCGTATTCTGTTTTAGTACACCTTCCGTAATGGATGCTACTTTAACGCCTTTATTTACCGGTAACTTTGCCCATTAAATTATCCAACTCCTCGCGCGCTTTTTTCTAGCGTGATTCGAGATCTCCAAAGGTGTATTTGAGCCGCGTTATTTTGAAAAAATATATTTTAGAATAGCAAATTGATATAAAATGTGTAATTGAAAAAAAAAAGAAAAATTATTGATGTGATGAAAAATATTATTTTATTGAAAAATGTGTGATTGAAAATGAGTAGAAGAATGAAAATGAAAATTTTAAAGAGGATCAAACAGGGGCTTAGTCAATCTTTCTAATTGACATCCTTGTTCTAGAAACTAGACAAGTTGAATATGATAACTTTAAAGTCACTTGACATATTTAGCCCTATTTCATGATCATTGTTAGATGAAAACAAAATTTTAAATAGCGAGTTTTTGAAAATTGTGTTGTTAAAAAATAAAAAAAATAAAGTTTTGATTTACGTGTAGAATTTTGAAATAATGATTATCAAACAAGGGCTTAGTCGTTTAGTCTATGTTTGATGAATTATACTTAGTGTACAGTCTTATGTTTACATCTTTGTTGACATCGTGAAGAAATTTAAAAAGTGTTGGGTGAAAAAATAGTTGTTTTTTTTTTTAAATTTTCAATCATTTATTGATACGTGGCACGATGTAAAACAAGATGTACATGTATGTAGCACAATTGATGTTTGTTTTCAATCATGTCATATGTACAATATCTCTTGCACTTTCCTTTACACTCTTCTAGATGACAACATTTACACTTTTGATTTCGAATTCATCAATCACATCACTATACAGATTTTCTCCACGTAAGATTGCATGTCAACCAAGTTGTCAAGTGTATTGTATATATATCATTATTCGTTTGATTTATCTAAAAATCAATTTTTTAATAATTTTTGATAAAATGAATTTTTGAAAAGTTAATAAAAAATGTAAATTTCATGAAATGTGATTGAAAATAAGTTTAAAATGGACCAAACATGGACTTATATTCTACCAAAAAAAAATAAAAAAATCAAATATGATAGCTTGGTATTACGTCTCTTCATTGATTTCGTCTAATTCTATCTAGTGTTATAATTCAAATATTTCAAACACCTGAAAAATATTATACTCTCTTTAAAATTTAAGGGTCAAAATAAAATTTTAATTTTAATCATACATTTTACAGAATTCATAACTATTACTCAATTATCCATCATCATTTCTCTCACATTATAATTTTATCGACCCTTGGGGCCCCTAGTAGTTGAATTGCTCATAACCTTTTTGAGCAAAAGTTGAAAATCATTGATATTTGATACCGTTGTTCCTCCTTTTATGTGCTTAGGATTCTTGATATGTCTCGAATCCAATAAATTTGTTACCCACTCCCAACAAATATTGGCACATCATAATTCTTTTGCTCCAAATCTATTCAATTTTTTAAAAAATGATACTTGTATATCGCAAAATTTGCATAAAACACTAGAAAAAATCGTAGTCTTTTTCTATTTGGAAACCGGCTTAGCATTTCAAGTTTTTTTTCTTTTTTTTGAAAAAAAGAAGCAAAACTATATTTATGTTGTGCATAAAGACTGGTTTTCTAAAAATTATATGTACTGTCTGAATATAGAAAATTTATGTCAATTATTAATATAGACTAGCCTTAACATAACCACCCTTTAGTATAAGATCATTGGCTACATTCACCTATTTTGTTATACTCTCTAATAAGGAAAATTCCATTTGTACATAAATGGATGACAATGGAGGTTGACAACCTCTCACATGCATGCGGGACCCATATGATTAAAAAATTCCTGAAAAAGAAAAGTGGGTCTCCCCTATTGTAAGGGTTCGGTCATCCATATGTCATCCATTTCGGTATATTTAGCATGATTGGATTAAGTTTTGTTACGGATTTTCTTTTATATTTTAAAATATGATCGAAAATGAGTTTGAAGTGGTTCAAATCATTGAAATAGTTTTTGAAGAATGATGAAGCCCGCTATTGCTGACCAAATCATTGGTGGTGGACAACAAGTAAAAAACACTATTCAAAGAGATTCAATTATTTAATTTGGTGGAATTCGATTTTCCACAATAAAATAGGTGGAATTCCATTTAGGATTGTCCCAAATTCTGCCTTCTGCCTCATGGCTTTTTTGACTTGTACACTAATAAGGGTTATATTAATAATAAAATAATTAAATCATATAACATAAATCTTGCATTATTTGTTTTCGGTTTTTAATGTTCTTAGTCTTTTGTTTAATGTTTAGTACTTGTTTGGTCCTCTTTTCCAAAATTTCATTTTTAACTATACATTTCAAAATTTTTGAAACACTACAAAAAATTTGATTTTTAGTCGTATCGAAAGGAGATTTAGTCATTTAATATTTCATTTATTTGTCGAGTTAGTTTAACAACAAATAATTCCTCGGGTTATGGTAGATCGTATACATTATTAATCACCGAACTTTAATTATTGAATTCGATTTTGTTCAATATTACACATCAAACTTTTATGTTGTTTCGATTTAGACACTTGGGGTGTGTTTGAACCATATTATTTTGNTAATACCTTATTTAAGAGTATGTTTGATTGATACTATTGAGAAAATAATGTATTTTAAAT